CAACAACATTTTTTGCTGTTTCAAATGAATAAATATTTTTTTTTTTTATAGAAGAGGGGGCAAACGAACATGTGGCTCACCTGATGTTAAGTGACTACCGCCGCCCATGATCAACCGCAACACCAGGGGAATTGCAGGTGCGTTGCCGGCCCTTTAGAAAGGAGTAAGCTCTTTTCTTGAAGGTCCCCAGGTCGTATCGGTCCGGAAAAATCGCCGGAGGTAAATTATTCCACAGAGAGGTTGTACGCGGAAGAAAACTCCTTTTGAAACGTACAGTGGTGGACCGCCAAGCATCCAGATGGTGTGGATGGTATCGGGACGTTTGCCGTGTAGTGCGTTCACGAAATTTGGCGGCTGGGATTAATCCGAACAATTCCTCAGAGCACTTCCCGTGATAGATGCGATAAAATACGCAGAGATGCAACATCTCTTCGCAGCGCCAGTGAATCGAGCCGATCGGAAAGCACTCGGTCGTCGACGATTCGAGTCGCTCTGCGCTGGATGCGGTCAAGTGGAAGGAGCTGGTACTGGGGAGCCCCAGCCCAGAGATGGGAACAGTATTCCATGAGCGGCCGAACCTGCGCCTTGTAAAGTTGCAGGCGGTGTGCCGGCATGAAATACTGTCCCGCTCTGCTGAGCACGCCAAGCTTTTTAGAGGCCAATTTGGCCTTCCCTTCCAAGTGACCACGAAACTGCACGTCACTCGATATGTCGACGCCGAGGATTCCGATACTGGCTGAGGCAACAAGGGGAGTGCCTTGAAACTGAGGGGATACGACAAAGGGGTTCTTTTTAGCGGTTAACGCGCAAACTTGTGTCTTCTGGGGGTTAAACTGGACTAGATTTAGTCGCCCCCAATCCGAGATTCTGTCCAGCAGAGACTCGACTTCAGACACAAGTTTGTCCCGGCACTCAGAGACCTTTTCCCGAGAAATATTGGCTCGGCCGGTGTAAAGAGCATCACCAGTGCTGTCATCTGCATAGCAATGAATGCTACGGGTTTGCAACATATCATTGATATGCAGAAGAAACAGCGTTGGCGATAGCACGCAGCCCTGTGGAACACCAGCATTAATAGGCTTGCAATCGGAGCTTGCACCGTCTACAACGACCTTGATGCTCCGATCTGCAAGAAAACTGGTGATCCAATCGCACAATTTCTCGGGAAGCCCATAGGAAGGGAGCTTCGAAAGAAGCGCTTTGTGCCAAACCCGATCGAAGGCCTTCGCAATGTCCAAACTAACGGCCAATGCCTCCCCCTTGGACTCTACTGCCTCCGCCCATCTGTGAGTTAGGTAGACCAGAAGATCACCAGCTGACCTACCACGGCGAAAACCGTATTGGCGGTCACTAATCAGCTGGTGATCCTCAAGGTACCTCATGAGCTGGCAGTTTACAACGGACTCCATTATTTTGGAGAACAAGGAAGTGATGGCGATAGGCCAGTAGTTGGACGGGTCTAAGCGGTCGCCTTTTTTAGGGATCGGGTGGACGAAAGCCGTCTTCCATGATTTTGGGACTACGCCTAGGGAGTAGGAGTACCGGAAAGGACGCGTTAAAACCGGTGCCAACTCTGGAGCACACGTCCTCAGCACAATTGGGGGGATTCCGTCAGGCCCACTCGACTTGTGGATGTCCAGGGAGAGGAGTGCTTTGCGAACCGAGCGCTGAGTGAACTGCACTTTCGGCATGGAGCACTCACACCGCGGGATGGTCGGCGGCGTACTCCCCCCCGTCATCGAGAGTCGAGTTACACGCAAAGAAAGAGCCTAGAACATCGGCTTTCTCCTTTGCGGTGTGGGCCAGTGAGTCGTCCTCCCTGTGCAGAGATGGAAGAGATGGCTGACAGAAATTCCCCTGGACAGCCTTGGCGAGAGACCAGAATGCACGGGTTCCAGAAGGAAGACGAACTAGTCTCTCGCCAATTCTGCCTATGTGCTCTGACTTTGCCTTGGCAATGACTCTTTTGAAGAACCTAGAGGCGGAATTATACTTCTTTTTTAGAGCGATGGTGTTTACATCCCTGGAAGCTGATGCGTCAGCCCAGGCTTGGTAGCACTCCTGCTTATAGCATGATGCTATTTTACAGGAGCGACCAAACCATGGCTGAGATTTGCCTCCAATGGGCACCACAGAGGAAGGAATAAAAAGTTCCATGCCCTGAAGTACCGCATCAGCGACAGAATCCGCAACAACGTTGGGATCGTCCGGCGAGAAGCAAACCCGCCCCCAAGGGTAGGATTTTTTTTTTATAGGATAGGGTGACAAACGAGCACACAGTCCACCTGATGGTAAGTGGTTGCTGCGGCCCATAGACATCTACATCTATCTTCCATTACAAATCAAAATGCAGATGCGTTGTCACCCGTGACGACTGAGATGGAATGCCTCATTTCCAGTAAAAAGGGTCTCCGGTTCTCTACACTCACCATACGTAATACAGCTGCATTAAGCTACTATTTCACGCTGGTATTCTGTGAGAGCGTGGTCCTTCCCCGGTCGAGCCGACCCATTCGTGCTACAACTATACTACTAATATAACTGCAGCATGGCTCTACCACGTAAATCATAAATATATGGATGTAAAAGAGAGAGAGTTGTGTCAGGATCGTGCTGAATGGAAGTCCATAGCTCTACCACGTATATAGACCGCAAAGAAAGACCGCATCCCATCCCAATCGGCTGACCTATAGTGCCAAACACGACGGCAGCCTGCAGAATGCAACCGCGATTTCAGCATGAGTGGCACCACACTCCAGACAAGACAATGGTCCGAGGAGCCTAAAGGGGCGTCGACGGAAATCTGATATCCGTCCGGTTGAGAGGTCAGCAGAAGGTCCAACAGGGAAGGTGCATGATCCTCCACATCTGGAATCCGCGTAGGCGAAGTAACCAGTTGTGTCAGACCATATGCCAAGGCAAAATCATGAACAGATCTCCCCGCATGATCGGTTAAACGTGAACCGAGCCATTCGGCGTGATGGGCGTTAAAGTCGCCGAGGATCACGATCTCTGCGGAGGGGATCTGCTGTAGCAACGAATCTGCAGCCATTTGGACGTGGTCGAAGAGTCGGTCTGTTTCGGCATTACCGCTATGGGACCTATAGAGGCACCCGTAGACGCGCGGATGGTCGTCGCTGTCTACGCGTAGCCAAAGGATGGACAGATCCGAACCTTCAAGTCTGCCGAGGCGTCGAGAACACATGTCCTCTCTGACGTAAACGCAAACTCCAGCCCGAGGCACAAAGGAGTGTTCCAGTTTGTACCCCGGGCAGGAGAGATACGAGACATCAGCCGGAGAGGACACCTGCATCTCGGTCAGAAAGAGAAATCTCTTTCTGAAATTGATTGATTGATTTTGACAGTTTTGTGTTACTAATGATGAAGATTTCAACCATTTGATTTTTCACACAGAAGTGCGTTGGCTATCAAAACGAAATTGTCTTACTCGATTTTACAAACTGACTCTGTTGTAGAGTTCTTTGAAAACAAAGACACAGAATTGCGCGACAACTTCATCACATCAAGGACATGATATCGCATACCTGACAGACCTTTATAAATTGCTTAATGATATGAATCTCCAACCTCGAGGCGATGACTTGAACTTAATAAAAACAAAAAATGTCGTCACTGCTTTTACTTGCTCTTACACAAGAAGAATATGGCAGACGTGAGTTCCATAATTTTCCCAATTTATCAGTATCCTGCAACAACGACTACTTACTTGTCTAGTCAACATTTGGAAAATCTCCACAGTGATTTCATTGAAAGATTCCAGGACATTTTGAAATTGGAAACACCAGACTGGGTGTTAGATCCTTTTTCAAATGTTATCATAGCGGTATCACCCCAACTGGAAGAAGAACTTATAGAACTGACAACGAACGAGGCAATAAAAATCAAATTCAAAAATGACTACCAAGAATTTTGGCTACAAAAGTCAATCCCACAGTTGTACCTTTATCAATCGGTTGTGGTCGATCATTCAACGATTTTTGATAGCATTCCCATCGTCATATTTGTGTGAATGTTGATTTAGCGCTGTGACAACGCTGCTTACTAAAAAAAGAAATTGTTTGCATGTTACCGAACGCTGCGACTTACGACTGTTTTTAAGTAAAATCGAACCCGATATCAACAATCTTGTTAAAAATCATCAAATTCATCCATCTTGTTAGTTTTAAAACTAAAATTGATTACCTATCTATATTGTTTCTTTTAATCTGATTAAAATACATTCTTAATTTTATATAGTTGCGTTTTAATTGCTCTCACCGGTAATAATGTCTAGTTTAGAATGTAAGTTTACACCAATCGTGTTATTGTGTGAGTGTATTACGCACACAATAACAAAATAACGCATACACGCACACGCACATTTGTGCATGCGCATTAGTGAAACGAGTCGACCAGAAAGGACTCGGTCGTCGACGATCCGAGCCGCTCTATGCTGGATGTGGTCAAGTGGAAAGAGCTGGCACTGGGGTGACCTGGCTCAGAGCTGAGAATGTTATCTATGTAAAAAAGTATTCTATGTGAGGCCGAACCTGCAACTTGTAAAGTTACAAGCGGTATAAAAGATATAAATATGCTAAGGAAATGTGTTGTTATAAAATACCAGAACTCATAAGTAGGAGCAACGGGCTTTACATGCTACCAATACTGATTATTGGCTCCACCTGGTAATATTATGTGCGTGCGTGCGTGCGTGCGTGCGTGTGTGTGTCTGTGTGTGTGCGTGCGTGCGTGCGTTTTATGTGTATACTTAATAATTACATTATTTGTAAATGGAAAGTTAGCACCGATAACAACGCAGGCGCAGTACAGAAACCAATATTTATCGGTGCTCCGCCGAAATTCAGCGCTGCTGCAGTACCTGCGGTAGCATATGCTGAGTCGGAATCGTTTTCGGCATCACATTACTTACTCTTTATGTTTTTTTATTTACTATTAAATGTGAGTTCTAAACATATGTGCATATGTATGAGTGTGTTTACCTGTGTGTGGTGCGCGTCGAGCCCCGCGCGCTGCACAGCCTCTTGCGCCATGCTCTTGAGCGAGGCCGTGCCGCTCGCCGCACCGCTCGCCGCGCCGCTCGCCGGACCGCTCGGCGTCGCCGCACTGGGCGGCGGACTCGCTACGCCACTGTAATCGTGCAAACGTAATAACATCATTAATTCTAGTGTAAGGGGCAAGGTTAAAAAAAACAGAGGATGCATACGATTTGAATTTCGATATTTTTTAAATTTAAAAATTTACTTTAAAGAAATTAATAATATCTGTGCCATCATCATCATTACAAACCCTTGAAAAGTCCACATACTTGGTCAGAGCTACTTGCATCCATCGACTTCTTGTATCTCTTACCAGGTCGCTCTACGTAATCTAAAGCTGGCTACATACAGATACATGTTTTTTTTTTTTTATAGAAGAGGGGGCAAACGAGCATACGGCGCACCTGATGTTAAGTTGATGTAATTGCAAAGACATGCTCGTCCCGAGCATTATCGGCCCCATAATAACGCGCCAGGCGATCCACATGGACGATCTTAGGAGTCCCTCTTGCGCCTTTCTGTAACGGCTCTGCAATGTCAAGGGCTGTTCTATCCCATGGTGCACCAACATTGTACAATTTCGATACTCCTCTACTACGTGTCTGAGGTCCCCTCACAGCCGCACATCTTGTACATTTGCGACACCAATCCTCGACATCGTCACGATAATGGACCCAGTAAAACTGTTCTCGGATCTTCAGTAGAGTTCGTTTAACTCCCAGATGTACTCCTGAACAATCATTATGGTGCAGCTGTAGAACATTCGGCACTTTAGTTTTAGGGACAACCATTTGCAAACGACAGCTGTCTCCTCGACCATTGTCCCATTTACGGCAAGGACTCCATCCTGAATCAGCAAGCTGTCCCATTGGGCCCAATAGCTTCTAGTGGTCGAACTCATCGCTGACGCGTCGCTCCACTTAGGCTTAGTAGCATGGGCCTTCATCCATCCCAGAATCGGCTTGATGTCCGGATCTTCCTGCTGTGCATGTCGTAGGCTGTCCTTCCACTCGTTGCTGAGGTAGTCTGTCCTGAGCATCCTCACGGATACCACATCCTTACTCTCTTGCCTAGTACAATGTTTGCAATCTTCACAAGGTCTTCTTGACAATCCATCTGTGTTGCTATGAGATTTCCCGCTGCGATGTATGATAGTAAAGTCGTATTCCTGCTGCTGCTGGATGGTGATGTTAGCCGCACTTCCCTTGTGAGATCGTCCACCTTCCCTTTCTAGGGTTCGCTTAGGGCAACTGGATCTAAGATGGCCCCTTTCTCCACAGCCATAGCACCTAGGGCTGTATCCTTTATTGCGGTCGCAAACTGTAGCTGCTGCAACCTCCCTAACGTGAGGGGAACGATGATCCTGCCACCGCCAGGCGGTGCCGTCAGCTGCACTACTCTCTCGAGATCGATCAACTTCCCTTTCTACAGTTCGCTTAGGGCAGCTGGATCGTAGATGACCCCTTTCCCCACAGCCATAGCACCTAGGGCTGTATCCTTTGTTGCGGTCGAGAACTGTAGCTGCTGCAACCTCCCTGACGCGATGGGAACGATGATCCTGCCGCACGGCTTCCACCTCCAGTGCATGGGCCAAGGCGTCCTTAAGCGCCTCGTGGTGCCCGAGCCTCACAGCAGCTCTGCCTTCAAGGTCGCGGATGCCGTCGATGAATGTCTGCACCAGGTTCCCTTCAGAGGGTAGGTACAGACCGGTATGCTTTTCGCACCAGCTTCTCCACCTCTAGAGCCCACTGCTGCAGTTTTTCGTTGATGCGCTGCACGCGATCTTTAAGCTGCGCACGAAAGACGTGTTTCAGGTGAGCGTCACCATATCTCGCCTACAATGCCTCAAGGAGCTGCTCATAAGTCACTTCTTCACCGAAAGCTTCCAGAACAGTTAAGGCCTGGTCACGCAGGCCTATCATGAGAGCAGTCATTGGCTGACTTTTATTCCAGCCGTTCGCTTTCATGACAGCCTCGAACTGGATTTTGTAGGCCGACCAGGAAGAAGTCCCGTCAAACGGCGACACTTTGAACCCACGTAGCGAAGGTGTTGTAGCTACTACGGGAGCTGTGACTCCTTCCCCCAGTTTGAGGTCGTCCAGCGTTTTCTTCACGTCAGCCATCACGTTGTCTACCCGATTGTTCACTTGGTCGATTCGGGTTTCAGATTTCTCGATTCGGGTTTCAGCTTCCGACAGGCGGTTGTCATGTTGAGCAGCCTTATCCTTCACCTCCTTCATTCCCTTCCCGAAGGTAGCGTGAAGGTCCTTCATGAGGAGCATCTGCTTTTCCAATCGACGCGCTTGTTCTGTTCCGCCTGCTGGTGGGCCTGTGCGTCCTGCTGCTCTTTCAACCAACGGGCCTGTTCCTCCTGTCGACGGGCAGGTTCCTCCTGTCGGCGGGCCTGCTCCTGCAGCATCACCATCAGAGCACCTAAGTCAGGTGCTGCAGATGTAGGAGCTACTGACGGGCCTGCAGCCGGTAGCTGGCCCTCTGACGTCTGCGGCGTTGCACCACCAAATCTTTGGTCCGTCTACTGCTGGTGTTGACTTCGGGTACGGACACCCTCCGTTTCCTCCTTAGGTAAAATCGGCATGATTTTATCCCACTTCTGACACCAATTGTTACGAGCTTGAGGTTCGTGACAATAAAAGCTGCCGATTGAACAGAACATTTGCCTAGCGTCGCTATTCTCGTGGTCGCTCGCCTAGTTGGCCGAGTACAGGCGAGCCAACGTGTATATGGTTAGTTTGACGTGCTTTGCCACCACTCGGGATCGATCGCCACGACTGGTCTCACTGCGGAACATTGTCGGTTTTTCTGCACAAATCAAAGGCGCTCCTTGCCTGCACTCGGCAATTCTTGTCCATATGTTAGTTGGCTTTGTCAGTATATTCACTCATTCAAACTTGGCCGACATGCAGACTGTAGAACCCGCCTTGTAGACATGTGTCGATCATGCATGATTCGTTCGTTTGAGCTGGTACACTTAAAAGTATTGATGGTTCATTCATTTGTTTTTGAATGTACCAGTACAACCAATCACAAACAATTGACGGTACCTTTTTAACCCGCGATTTGTTTGGATTGTGAATGAGCCGCAAACCGACCGAATCCCGAATGATCTGAATAAACAGGCGAATCGAATTAACAATGCAGACTGCAGAGCATAGAGTAGAGTAATATATACACAGAACACCATTACTCCTAGCGGAGAATATATACAGAAACTGCAGAGTATCAGGAGTATTTATTATTTTAAGTTTTTTTTTTCACTATAATATTGTTACCTAAATTAAAAATCATTTTACATTTAAATCTATGAGTTAAAAATATCGTTTTGTAGAGTTTACTAAAAATAACACTTCAAAAGATTTTAGGATAAATGACTTATTTAATGATAATTTTCAACCATCTTATATAAGTATAAGTTAGGTAAAAGTTTAATTTCATAGCAAATAAATGTTTCAATCATTTTCAGACATGTAAAGTAAGATGAAATTGTGTATGTTCAGACTCACAAGTGTTAGGAGTGAAATTTAACATTAAGCATATTTATAAAATACATGATAACTTGACGTTTTTGTGTTTGTCATCTAGCGTCGATTGTCCTTACCACCTTGAAAGTTAATAAGTTTAATTCGATAAAATGACTTTATTACCTACATCATGTAGTAGATGGCGCTATTACAAATCTTAAATTTTCGGTTCCCAATAGATCTCACAGACTCACAGAGTACTGGAGCCTGAAATGATCCATTTGAATGATCGATCCGAATGTACCAGTACGCGTGATGAAATGTACTAGAATGATTCGGTCGCTAGAAATGAGTGATTTACACATGTCTACCGCCTTGTATTAATTTGCCCAAGTTCACGTTGGCTGAGATTGGCCAGCCTTGTGAGGATTGTAGTTGCTGGCTTAACTACATCCACTTAAATTTTTGATTAAGAGTCTTAACGTGCGCGTAAGGCGTGTGTGTATAAAAGAAGTGCTACACTCACTTGTCGTCGACGTACAGCGGGTGCGTCACGAGGGCGTGCGTCGCGTGTTCACATGCAGAGCATGCGTCACGCGGGCGAGAGAGCCGGTATAAAAGTAGAGGTTGACTCACTTGTCGGCGAGGTGCGGCGTGTGCGCAGGCGGATGCGTCATTAGCGCGTGCGTCGCGTGGGTCACGTGCGTCACGTGCACGTGCGACGCGGGCCCGTTGAGCGCGGGCGAGGAGTCGCGCGGCGCCGGCGTCACCGACCCGGCGCCAGCGCCGCTCGACGAACTTGCACCACTTGACGGGGTCGCCGATGCGCTCTTTGGCGTCTGCAAACGGAAATTTCTTATAGTTACATGATTATTACACATTAAATGATAGTTTCATTTTACGAATTTTATAGTGCGTTCAATTTTAACATTTTTTTATCCACGACTTTTCGGGTGTTTTATTGCACTCATTGGGGAGGACTGAGGTTTTTGGCGTCTCAGTGTCAGCCCAAGTCAAGTTTTGAATATTAATTTTTGGTTCAATCTACACAGAATGAGCTAGGCTTGGATTTGAATTTAATTTTATTAATTATAGGATTCCAAAAAGTAGGTAGCACCCTTCCATCGTCTTTTAATTTCAATAGCCTCACGAATCATCTTTGTTAAGTATCAGTGTTCTTTCTATCTATCAAATCTGATATAATGTCAGGGACGATCCTGAACATGTTCACAGACTGTAGATCTCCAAAAGTGTTGGTTGTTCACGTCAGCTATATGTTCTCTTACGCGAGTTTTTTTTAGTCCAGTCAAAATAAAATATAAGTTTGCTATAATTCACATACACCTGAAAATTGGTACAGACTAGATACACTATTACAAAATGATATATCGAAAGTCCCCACCGCTCCTACACCTGCTAAAAATTTGTTCAAGATCAAAGGTCAAAAATATAGGTTTTTTATATACAAAATATAGGCAAAAAACCTATATTTTGCTATAGTAAAAGCAAGACAGGTGAAAGTTGTAGATCGTGCAAAAAATTTATTGTTTGTGTATGTGCCTAAAAAATTTCTTCTTATACTTTTTCCCCATGACGCACCATTCTTGAGATAGAGATTTCAAAGATTAAAAATAATAATATGCGCGTTTGCGCTGTCCTCATAAATAACTCTACTCAAAGAGGGCTGATAATCGTCTGCTTACCAGATGTCGCAAGTTGGGACGGAGGTGAAGGTTATTTGTTTGAAGCGAGTGCACTAACTTTACACTTTTTAATAATCGGTTATGTTCCTCCCGTTTTCGTAAAAATTCATCAGAATAATTAAACTTTGTCAACTTATTACTTTTTTTTTATAGGATCGGGTGACAAACGAGCACACAGTCCACCTGATGGTAAGTAGTTGCTGTGGCCCATAGACATCTACATCTATCCTCGATTACGAATCAAAATGCATATGCGTTGCCACCCGTGAAGACTAAGATGGAATGCCTCGTTTCCAGTAAAAAGGGTCGCCGGTCTCTACACTCACCATACGAAACACAGCAGCATTGAGCTACTATTTCACGCTGGTATTCTGTGAGAGATATATACTTGCAGATTATAGGCATATAGTATCGTACCGACAAATTTATTTGAAAATCATAACCTGCCACAGCTGAACATCATTTCATTTCATTTCCCCAAGGAATGTCACATGGTCCTGAGCCACCTGTATCCATCGACTTCCTGTATGTTTTTACCAGATCGTCACTCCATCTTCATGACTTCTATATATATATATACAATAGCTATACTTTTGTGCACACCTGTGCTGGCCTCAATTCCAAGTACCGTAACAACGTAACAACTTGGGTCCTCATCAACTGCTTGAAGGACTACTTCCTCGTAAGGTAATGAAATTCTACCTTCACCATGCATTTGGTTTGGCAGTTGGCCATCAGAGAAGAGTAGACGGTGCACATTGGTTAAAACTCTGTGATCTTAATAGCGATCAGCATTAGGGTATCTCTCGCAATACCGTCTAGTGGCTTCACTGGCATTACATTGGCATTCCCAATAAATGAGGTGCATGTTGGCATATTCCTGTGTGGTGTACACAGCCATGTTATGGTACAAATACACAATAACACGTTAGTCCAGGGAAAAGCAAAGGTCGTCGTAATGAGATCACAAATGTCCAAATCCAAATCACACGCAAACAAGTCCAGTAAACGAAGCCAAAGTAGTAAGAACACAAGATATCACCAGCGAATACGAAAAGATGCGTAGTAAACTGTAGTAAACGAAGTAGCGTTGCGTACTGATTTCACAGAGTACTTGACTGATTTGTAGTGCGTGTACCAATACCAATAAGAGTTGTCACTACCTGTCTTGCTCACACTTAGCATGGCTCTCTGTCTTGTTCACTCATTTGCGTCTGTGTCTCATTAGCGTCACTATCTGTCTCGCTCACACTTTATGGAATGTCTCTCTCTATCTCATTTAATCGTTTTAATGTAAGTTCCAAAAAATTGTTAAAAAACTGACTTTGTTTAACAAAAAACTTTTTATAGCTGATCCAAGAAATAATGGAGTAAGTGTTATACCACGTTAGGATCCTTATTAAATGCGCTAACTTTTAAAGCTACTTGCCAAACTGACGTAGTAAAATTTTTTTCCAGGACGGTCAGTTGAAGTAGTGCGAAAAACTAATTCGTCTCTCTGAGCGATCGGCACAGGGTTTAGGATTACAGGTTACAGAAGCACTATTCAGGATGACGTAAGAGAAAAAAATTGGCAAAAAGTAAATATTTGTAGCAACAGGAATGAAAAAACTGTCTCATGGTGTACATTTTATCGAAAAAAAAAAATTACTATAATTTCTGAAATACATGACTTAGATTTTTTTTAATATTTTTCTGGTAACTAGTATGGCCTCGCCTATCAGAAAGTTTCGGCTTGACGTCGACTTCTGGGACTATATATATATAGTCTATATACAATGTGTTCGGTTACCGGTGTCGGAAATTTAATGCCATAAAATATAATCAATTTCATCGACAAATCATGTCTCAAATCTCATTTAGACCTAGCTGTATTTATTTAAATGGCAGCCATTTAAATTTTTCAGTGTCACCACCTCGATCCCGCGCATTAAAATTACAATATTCACCGATGTAGAAGTCCTACATTCTTAAAAGATGTTTCATTGGATAGATAAAGATACACGTAATAAAATAAAAGCAAACTTTTAACTGCAAAATTGTATTTAGATAATAAAAAGACTAAGAAAAGAAAAAAAATGTAAAAAAAATATCGGTTATTTTTTCACATTTTCGACTTATAAAAAAAAGTAAGTAATTTACCTAATGATTTTTTACATTAATTAGATAGATCAGAACACTTCCTAACCAAAAACAAAAATCTTTATTGTAACCAAAAAAAAATCAGTATTGAGTTACAATACTGATTTTTTTTTTGGTTTGAATATGACCTTTGAAAAATTTGTCGCTCTGGTTGCAGACAAAGTGAAAAAAACTGTGTTTGCAAAAACTCTAAAAATCTTGGGCCATTCATAGTTTCTGGTAAAATTATCCAATTAAAATATCGTCTTTTATTCCAGCTTCTATCTTTCATTAGCGGGTCTTCTGATCCCAAGTTCAGCTATCCGCAAATGTATCCTTACAAAAGTGCGAGCATTTGGTGTAGGCCTGTTGGGAAACATTCTGGCGTACTTTGTGACAGCTCTGTTTGCGTTGCCGTTGCGCAATCCATACACAAAGTGGATATCAGCGACATGCTGGTTTGAGTATTCACCATCTGCCATTTTTGAAAATAACTAGAAACTTCACCACAAACTTAAAAAGTTCCACAAAACGGATTTTTTTTTAATAATAACAACAATCACAACGCGTGGCGAGGGACGAATGTTTTTGCTGTCCCAAGTACACTTGCTTAGAACATCAAACAATGGGCTTTGGGTTTTTCTACCTGCTCTTGAACTATCATAAATGATCCTGCACGTGCAGCTTGCGTTTTTAAGAGGTTGTGTTTGATAAAGTACAATTCCTAAACTATTTAATTTACAATTAAGATTTTTATGTTTTTGGTTAGGAAATGTTCTGACCTATCTAATTAATGTAAAAAATCATTAGGTAAATGACTTACTTTTTTCATTAAAGTCGAAAATGAGAAAAATAACCGTTTTTTTTACATTTATTTTCTTTTCTAAGTCTTTTTAGGATCTAAATACAATTTTGCAGTTAAAAGTTTGCTTTTATTTTATTACGCGTATCTTTATCTATCCAATAAAACATCCTTTAAGCATGTAGGACTTCTACATCGGTGATTATTGTGATTTTAATGCGCGGGGTCGAGGTGGTGACACTGAAAAATTTAAATGGCTGCCATTTAAATACAGCTAGGTCTAAATGAGATTTGAGACACAATTTGTCGATGAAATTGATTATATTTTATAGCATTAAAAGCTCCGACACCGGTAACCGAACACATTGATATATATATATATATATATATATATATATATATATATATATATATATATATATCTAAAACGATGTGTCATTAAATAGAAAACCCTTAGCAGATAGATGTAAATAGTGGAAGAAGTGATTAAGAGAAATTTAAAAAAAAATCATGTACATTTTTTTAATATACGTTTTTTTAAACCATATTCTTACATTCTTATCTCATTTCGATTTTTGTTTACAAAACTTTCAATCTTTATTTTGTAAATTTTACTCCAAAGTAAAATTACAAGCATCATTATTTCGGGATACAGTGGACCCCCGGTAATCCGGCACTCCTTGTAAACCGACATGGTCTAATATTTTTTGACAATCTTAGAAATTTTTTTTGACAATCTTCGCTAATGCATGATTGAACAAGTTATAACTTGTACGCACCACCACTATTGTGCTCGACGCGTAGGGTATTGTTTCGATTCTGATTGCTTAGTTTGAATTTGACATAATGAAGTATTATTTGTACTTCAGAGTACATATATAGAATCTTATCTTTGGATCTGTAATTTTTCAGATTACAAGGTACTCTTTTGTGAAAAATTCCAAATTATAGGGAGTCTTAGGCAGTACTCTATAATCGGACAAATTCGATAGTTTGACACTGCCCTGCAAAATGTTTGTCGGATTACAGGGGTCCACTGTATATGCTTTGTATTCCAAAGCAAAAATTAGGCAATTAATTTATGCATAGTAGAAGAGAGTAATTTTAAAACGATTATAGGCTATAATAGCCTTAGCAATAGTAATAACTATAATAAACAGAAAATCTCTCTACTTTCATGAGTGGGACACTTACAGGTGGGGGCTGCGTGGGAGGCGGTGGATGCGTGACCGTGTTGTGAACTGGCGCGATCGAAACCGGACCATTCTCCACTACTTCTGCAACGAGCATAAACACAAATGTTAATTTTGTACTCTGTCTAACAACTTATAGCTTGTTAAACGGTAGTGGAATCTCGATTACTTTAATATTTAGTTTGTCATTATAAAATTTAAAACAGGATTAAGCTATAACGAATAAATTTTATACAAAAAAAATAGGTATTGAAGAAGATCGTGTTCATAATATTTAAAAAGGAACAAACTTGGAAAGGAAAGATTATATAGATGTTTTTGAAGAACAAAAATAGTTTTGTTAGTTAAATAATTGTTTAATCAATAAATTAAAACTGTACGTGATTATATTTTTAAAAGAAGTAAAAGACCTTTAGTTATCATTATCATTATGAAACATTAAAATTCTAAATGACAAAACTAAAATTTCTTAACATTGTGGATCATTTCATTTATAAGTCTTCTGACGAAGATCTTCGATCTGTTCTTTCGAAACAACAAATCGAGTTTGAGGTAACAATACTGTATCATCCAGTTTTTATACGCCAAGGTTATCCAATGGGAATATTTGAGGGCACTGCCCTAAACGACTTGTCGCATTTAATTCAGTAAATATTGTATAATCGCAGTTTTTTCTTATTATTAAGTTGTTTTTATTATGAAGATGCTACTGCCCATCTCCTTGTCTGTTTGTTTACCTTTGTCAGCTCTTACGACATCCAGAGAAGATATGAGGTAGTGGACACTCTTACACCGCCACTACAGGTATTAATTTTTATAGACTTGATGAGTCTTCTGTAATCTTGTGGGCATTTAAAAAAAATATACATGATTGTTTATAGCTTAGATTTATTACGCTAATAAATAAAACTTACTTTATATTTATTGCAACAATAAAAAAATCTTTTAAACCACCTTTCCCACCTTACAATAACATCAGTTAAAAATGAACATGTGCACTTAGCTCTTTATAAAAATGACTTTCACAAGTGGTGCACAATATTCACATGCACTGACTGGTCTTACAGATATTATTAGATTGTCATAATTCGTAAATATTAAATAAAAGTTCGAGATTTTAGCATTCATTTTTGGAATTGAAACAATAAGAGGGTTGTGATGATTTTCTGATGGCAGTACTGTACGGGCGATATTATAGTATAGTATATTACAATATAATATTTTCTTTCGTTTCATATTCGTTTTAAGTTTGTTTTCTTTTCATAGGTTGTCTATAAAAAAGTGCTGTGTAGCTGCTTAGATGTTTATTTTATTTAGTGATGTTTTTTGTTTGATGTAATTTGTATTGTACTCGTATCCAATGTAAAAATCATAAGATAACATCAGAAGCAGGATGATTATAAACTAAACTTGTTAATATTAACAAATTTCGTTTATACACAAATATCGATGCAATCAAACCCTGGATCCACGATTCATTAGTCGCCGACTCTGACCTAACTCACTAGATCGACGATTTTTAAATTACTTTTGTACATAATTGAGTTGATGTAAAACAAAGTGCTGATCAAATTAACAGAAACTGTACTAAAAAGCACTAGAAAACTTCAAACTATTAATTTCAAATACATAAACTAAACACGAGAAATGGACGGAACTCTACGTAAGCACAATCGTGTTTTTAAATATCTCAAACAGGTGATTAATTGGAAGTGTTAAATAGCCTGTTCTTATTTACTCCGAGAAAGACTGGCACGCGGCAATATTTTTTAACCATGTGTGAAACAGTGTCGATCAAAATAATTTTAATTATATAAATTAATCATGAGATATAGACGAAACACTATATACGCGCAAGCAATTTTGTTTTTTAAATATCTCAAACAGCCGATAGTTTTCAAGTGGTCAATAACGGTGTTATTTACCCTGAGAAATACCGGCACACTCCAATTGTTATATAACCGACATTGAACTTCACACAATTACATTACAACTACGCAACATAATTAAAAGAAACTACACTTTTAAAATAAATCTCAATACAATGCATGCACATAAAAACCATCTGTTACCATCGTCCATATTTGACGTTTGCGCGGGAAAACATTGTCGTCCTAAAAAAAACAGAGGATGCGATCGTTACCGATAGAGCCTATCGACTGAGTCCAGTCCCCGTGTAAACTTGGAAGTGCGCCAAAAACGAGTGTTTGTACGAAAAGTGGACGCTTGCCAAATGTGACTAATCGTAATAATGTCGGCTGATTATCTCAGATCCATTCACACTGTTTGATAAACGGAGTAATTTGTTTTGTAAACAGTGCAGCGTACGGTAAAGTTATCGCGTAGAATTGATAACGCTTGTTATATTTTAATCTTTCATCATAATTTAAGTTTCAAAATAAAATAATGTACATAATATGATATTATCTTTTCGTGTAGATTTTCATCATCAACTTTTTTTTAAACTTGATATGTAATACTGCAGATTGAAAATTTATTACGTATATTATATGCAGCATGTAATAAAGAAATAACAAATTATTATAAAAAGGCGGTAAAAAAGATTTATTGAATTAAGATTTTTAACCCAACTAGCCAGCAACTACATAGTAAACTTCAGTGTGATGCCAAGTATCGTCGCTGTTGTTCCGGTAGTTTTGATATTGAGCCAATCTTCCTTCTACTATAATGCTAACGCAGGTATATACAGACAAGGTGTTATTATATATTTTTTTGATATTGTCTTATTTTTACTTACTTTCAGCCAGCACTTTGCTACTTTTATTTTAGAAAAAGAATAAGGATTCCGCGCAAAAAAATTAAAACCCAACAAATCCAATCGTAATAAATACCACGCAGGCGAGATCGCCAGAACAGTTTTTACGTAACTACGAGTTCAAAAAGTTAGCGGAATGAAAGTTAAAGGAAGTGAAATGAAATATGAAATTATTTTTCCTTTTTGATATAACTCTTTTAACCCTTGTGCATTCCTCAAACTTTACAAATAATTTATTTTTACCCTCGAAAAAAATGTTTTGCCAAGGTCCACCCTCAAACCTTTTTATATGTAGTAAAGCCATGCTGCAGTTATATTAGTAGTATAGTTGTAGTACGAATGGGTCGGCTCGACCGGGGAAGGACCACGCTCTCACAGAATACCAGCGTCGAATAGTAGCTTCATGCTGCTGTGTTTCGTATGGTGAGTGTAGAGAACCGGAGACCCTTTTTATTGGAAACGTGGCATTCCACCTAAGTCCTCACGGATAACAACGCATTCGCATTTTGATTCGTAATCGAGGATAGATGTAGATGTCTATGGGCCACAGCAACCACTTACCATCAGGTGGACTGTGTGCTCGTTTGTCATCCTATCCTATAAAAAAAATAAAAATATAGGCAGAAATTGCAGACTTCACTTGTTTGTCATCCGTAAATTTCTTTTCTCGAAGCTCTCAGATCTAGACTATACAAAGGATGGTTTAAAATTTTGAAGCTTCACTTGTGTAAGGAAGCCATATAAACTATTCATAATACTTTGCACGCCTCGAAAGTGACCTTCGTGCAACTGATTAAAGCGCCGAAAAAACAATAATGCGGCACGCGTATAAAATCAAAATGCACTGATGAATGTCTGCATCACTTAGTCCGTTACGCGCCTGTGTTAAGGCCGGTACTACTGTAGGGTTAGGTGTTGTGAGAAAACAAATTGAATCCTTTGATATTAGTTGCTTGAAGAATACAACAAAGTGTATGTACTTAATTTATATAAATATTAGTATTCAAGGTGAGGAAGGTTAATATGCAACAACTAGAAAAATTAAGATTATAACAAGGAAACGAACGCGTGAAGTGAACATCTTTGAAACTCAGATAATTTACCTAAACTCTGATTTTTTCTTCTCTGAATCTTTTCAGAATTCTGACATTTCACAAGTGTTGCTACTAAAAAAGTTCTCCACCGAAAAAGGGACATATTTGATCCATTTGAGGGCAATAAAAAATAAAACTCTACGTATTTTTTAAGTTTTACCTACAAAAAGGTAAATCTAAATATTTACTTACTCAAGTAACCTAATACAAAAATAACAAATATTTCAATATCACGAACAATATATCGAATTAACTTTAATTACTTTATTTTATTCTTTAGCAGGCATCACTGCCTACTTATTGCAGGTTTAGTAAACCTTTAAAAAAAAGTTAGCTGTCATGTCGCGTCTGTCACATTGATTGACTTTCATTCGACTTCTTTGAATGCTCAAATGCGCTCATGTGTTCTCGGTGTTTGCTGCTATTTGTTGTTATTATTTTGTTATTTTTGTTAAGTTTCTGTTATTATGTTAAGTTTTTTCTTGTTGACTTCGTGTTGTTATCGTTTGTTGACTTTTATAAACATTATGGAGCCACAACCTGGCCCTTCCCGGGAAGCAGCCCCATCTGACAGAGCACAAGACTCTAGACTTTCTTTCTCCCAGAAAGAAGCGTCCTCATGGTGCTTTTACACCCAACGAAAAGACCATAATTCTAAATATTTACAAATATAATATAGAAAATTGGCCGCAAACAACGGAATGTGCTAAAAAGACTTCTGAGATGACTGGCATGGGTCTGTCAAGTGTCTATAAAATTAGAGTTTCAAAAGCCGAAAAAGAGTGGACCTTAACTAGTTTTCATACAAAAATTTGACGAATTTACTTTCGCTAATTCGACGAAGATTCACGCGGTTTTTTACAGGAACGAGATTCCGACTATTGAAAAGGTAAAGTTATTGCTAATTCTTTAACCCCTCGTTGCTGACATCCCCCATTGTTTTAAAACTATACTTTAACCTGTGTTGCCTGTCTACATTTTAACTGTAATGTAAATGCTTATTTCAGATTCACCAAGAGATAGCTGGTGATTCAGACATGCCTCGAAATCAACATTAAGAAAAGTATTGAAGCATTTAAATTTTAAATACGTAAGTCGCAAACGTTGAAGTGCGCTAACAGATCGCAAGGAGATAGTACTATGGCGTCAAAAATACTTGCACCGAATTAAACAATATAGAAGAGAAGGCAGGTTTATATATTACCAGGATGAAACGTGGGTAAACGAAGACAAGTATTGAATAATGTGGTAATTAACTTTTTACAACCTATCTTTTCTTCAAAGTATTAGTCGGCAATAAATTCTGTACTTATGTAACACTTAAATTAACTTAGTTAATAAATTGCTGTTTCCAAAATGAAAAAAATAAATAAAGAAATCCACATTTATAGGTAATATTTTTCAATTCATATGCATGTATAACTATCCTCATGTATAAGTGAAATATTAAATATATTTTTATTTTCAGAACATACCGTCAATAAAGTGTGGTGTGATACCAACATTCAATGTTTACGGCAAGCATTCCTTGGTGGCTTGACAACAGGGCTTAAGGCACCTACAGGCAAAGGGAGGCGACTTATAGTTAGCCATATAGGGAGCGAAGAAGGATTTTTGGAAAATGGCTTATTGGGTTTGAGGCAAAAAAAAGCTTGGCAGATTACCACAAGGAGATGACTGGGGAAGTATTTGAGGAGTAGTTCACAAAAATACTTCCAAAATTAAAATCAAGCTCGGTAGCAGTGTTGGATAATACTCCCTATCATTCGAGGAAGGGCGAAAAAGTACCAACAACTGCATGGAGAAAAGGCTATATCGAAGTGTGGTTGACTTCAAAAAATTTAAATTTTAAAGAAAAAATGCTAAAAGTTAATTTATTGGAAATTGTGGGTCAGAAGAAATACAAATATCAACAGTGTATTGTTGACGAGATGGCCGCAGCACAAGGCATTACTGTGGTTAGACTGCTCCCATATCATTGTGAGCTCAACCCTATTGAATTGATGTGGGCTCGAGCGAAGGGGCACGTCGCAGGACACAAAAGAACTTTTAAAATGGCAGAAGTTAAAAAACTATTACTGGAAAGTATAAATATTGTTACTCCTGATAAATGGCAAGAATGTATAAGTCATACAATCAAAGAAGAAGATAAGATGTGCACTCTCGACGATTTGATTGACACAGTCGCAGACTCTAATAATTCATGTCAGCGATGACGATGATGAAGATAGTGATATAAGTACTAATGATGATTAATTAAACTGTTTGTGATGAAAAAGGGACGTAATTATCACTCGCCGGAACAGGCCTGCTTTAACTTAATTTTAAATGCATTATAGTTTATAAAAAAATACATGTTTCGGTTTTAATTTTTATATCGATAGCTAATTTTTGCTTTGCTTTGTGTATATCGTTTATCGCCTTTTTAAATCGATTTAACATTTTGCCATCTCTAGGCACGCTAAACTGTAAGCTGTCACCCGCACCTTGCTATAACGCAAAGAATAATATATAAGTGAAACATGACCATATCTCTTAAAACTATACACTCGATTGACTTGCAATTTAGTATAGTTACTAGTTTCGCAATGTAGACGCTCACTAAAAACTAATCAAGAAATATTCCTGATATTTTTATCTACGTTATAATTCTCTATTATCGTGCGCCCAGCGAAGCAAGCAGGTATCAGCTAGTATGTGATGCATTTGTAGATTGTGAATCGGTTTATTTTTTTATTAAATTATAATACCTCTGGAGCATGTGTAACCTATACATACTTAAGGAGTAATAGGGGATATCTCATATATATTTGGGGAAAGATTTAGAATCCTCAAGGTGGAAGCTAGAGGAGGAAAATTTTAATGAAACTACCACATAGATGTTTGTTAAATTGAGGAGTGTAATGTGCCCTTATATACTTAATGTATGTTTTCTCAATATACCTTGATATTTTATTTTTGACCTAAGAAATATATTTTTATCTCTATGTGTAAAAATCAATTGTTATCCTGTAGTCTCACTAAAGCTCAAAAACAGCTCGAACGATTTTTATGAATTTTTTGTGTGCATTTGAGCGGGTTCCTGGATGATTTAAATAGTCGGTTGGACTCGGTAGGTGGCGCCGTTGTCGAGATCCAGAAATCACGCGCTCAAAACCGGGGTGGATCACTAGTTTATAATAAAACATGTTGTAACCATTACATATAGAGAAACAGACACACAATAATAGACATGATGTACATTTCTATCCTTGATTAAGTATCAATAAGCAAATGCTTTGTCACTCCTGATGACTAAGATGATTAAAAATTGACCAAAATATGTGTTGTTTACGTGTGTCGAGGCTGGACCTCAATTTAGCTACATTATTAAGGGTAACTAACACATTTAAGGTTTCTCTGGTCCCCAAAAGTACTAATATGAGTAAACTCATTTACTTCACTTTTACTGAAGGTAATGTTCCATAATACCCGTTACACCCAATTTTATCATCCCATCCCGGAAACATACCCTGCTCGAGGTCTATATGCTATACTATTATTTATTTGTCCAGATCATATTTTATTTTTATTTTTTATTCTCTCCATAAATCTTTATCTGTATCGGTTACTTTTATATTCTTTCATTATTATTCCATCTCCCTTCAATTAAGCATATCGGTTTAATTGAAACGGAGTTTGGATCCAAAACATTAGCTAAGATAATATCTGAGGCCTAATTCCTGCATTCCGATAACTAGCGAAATCATTTGCAGTTTCTAATACTTTATCTATACATCACGTAAAGCTCCTCGTTACCTGTGTTGTTCTGGCGCTGGTGAAGATGGATGTGTGAATTGTGTGTAGGCAGCGCGGGGTGCGGGGGAAGTGCGGGCGCCGCGGGGGGCGTGGCGTGCGGCGGGCTGGGCGCCGGCGGCAGCTTGATGGGCGTCGACGTGCCCGACGCGCCCGTCATGTTTAAACTGTAAATGCAAACATTGTTTGGATATACAGAGATGGGGGCAAACGAGGACTATGGTGTGCACGCTCTGTCAGTTTGTTGTTGCCAAATGGCTGTGATTAGTAAAACAAATGATATTCAACAGTTCTAACATAACGATACCGAAATGCAATGTATGTGCCTCAAGCAAACAATGCACCGAAGCCTAAATCACGGTATCAAAGTTCCGAAGTACTGTGGTATATATAGAATAGTTCTGAACTATCACATGGAGCATTGGCCACTTCCCAAGCTCAACACCTAACCCGGCGATAGATCTCCCCTTTTCCTTACCCCATCCACGACCAAAGCGACATATCGCCATCGACAAAATGAAGTCTTAATGTCTTGCACCGTAAAACTCGCTCTCACTCGCTCGCGTTTTCGTTACTTGTAACCAACCTCCTGGTGTCCAAAATTAAATCCAAGCTACGAATAACGAATATTCATTTTACTACAAGGAAACTAGCAAAATGAAGGCACACCTTTACTCTATCATCGAGTACCTTAATAAAAACATGCTTAATATTTTAAACAAAAATTTATCGTAATTCAAGTTTGAGTATTAATAATTTATGATCTATATAACCAATTACAATATTTTCAAGTTGATTTAACAATAAATACTTATTCATTCAATGTTTCATATTTTTCCAATAAAAATTACTAGGCATTGAGTTTATCCATTGTAAACATTTCTTTAAAATAAGTAAATAGTACTATAAATAACATGTTTCATAAGCCAAAAGTCTGTATTGCATAAAGCTCAACATGGATCACTCACTTAAAATTTATATAGTTCTTAAAATATTTGCGTTCATATAAGTAAAATAAGATACTTAATTTTTATGTTAATTTAAAATGCATTCTTTAATGAAAGGAATTCAACATTTATAGAGAGAAATAAATCCCAAAATAGATTAAACTACCCTTTGCAATAATAATAAAGAACTAAAATTAAATTTTTGAAGTCAAAATATCTTAAAAAGTTAAAATGAGAAAGCCATTGTAAAATTTTAAAACCCATTAAAATATATTATTTATATCCCAACAAACTGACAGATTTTATTAGCAGAAGATTATTTCGGACAATTGTAGCAACAATACAAAAATGATGTCCCTTAATTCTTAACATTTATTTGCTCTAGTTGGTGTTCGTGAACATATAAATGTAAAGAACTGCACTTTGTACATATATGGAAATAATCAACTGCCACAAGCGAAAATGATATTCCGATGTCATGCACATGTGATGATATGAGAACAAAAATAATACTAAACAGCCCAATGGTAATTAATTTTATTCCCATTAAAATCAATGATTCTAACTACTGCTTAGGACGAGATCAATTTGGTAACAGTAATTTAAAACACTTATAGATTTGTTCTTTATAAATCATATTTACCTTTTTATGTTTAAATTGTATTGTAAAAAATTGTTCTCGACCAGAGGAAAGATTCTTGGGTAAGAGAGTACCGGTTCTAGACTCCAAATATCCTCCATCCGCGTATATCAATTACTTTTAATTTAAATACAAAATTCCAAAAGAATCACAGAGTGAAAATCTGGGATTAAGTAAATGAAACTGCAGTTAGCATAACATTATATTAACTCACGTAAATTACGAAAAAATTAAATAGTTAATTGTTTATTATTTATGGTACTGGCAAAAGTAAATCTTGTTGCTTTAAGTCAGACCATTAATGTAAATAAACAAAGGAAATATTAATCCTTCAAAGTAAAAGTGTGCTATGATTTAAATTAAAGAGGATCATCCAACAGACATCAATAGTATACCTAAATGGACACTGCTATAGTTACTGTATATATTTTTGAGGGGAAAAACTATATTCATATCACTTACGAAATAATATGTACATATATTTTATTACAGATGTGTGTTTGCTTTATAATTTACTTTAGATTGGTGACAGGGCTTGAAATTAAAACAACTGTAGATAGAATTACCACATCAACAGGCGGACAAGTGAGTTTTGAAAATATTACTAAACTTTTGAATTATGTTGCACTCGTAACAGACAAAATTTTATTAGTTACAAACTCAATGTCACATGATCACATAATACGATTTTTATGTGTCAAATAAGTTTCTCTTTCACTCTGTGTTAGTCCATATATAGGGCTGCCCGATCCACAAAAGCATGTTTCAAAATAAAAAAATCACAAGAATGCTTCAAGGGTGCAATAAAAGCTGAGAAGCTTAAAACATTCAAGCATACACAAGTTTTGAATCCGGCAGCCCCCATCTACATCCAAAGCCTCGAACCGGCACAACAATTCAGCAGTCAAAATAGTAAGACGTCAGTGGACTGACCTATTGGTGGATGCGGCGGAGTTATTGAGCAAGGAACTAACGTTAGTCGCGCTATTACTGACCGCGCAGCTGTTCACCGCGCGGAGCGGCAACGGTTTGACCGGCTGGAAAGTTAACATACATTTGTTTACTTGATTGTCCGCCCTTTTTGGTCAGTTTTGGGTCCTTTGTGGGAATTCGTACTGCAGAACTATGTGAATCTAAAGATTAATTTGTTTACAAACGAAACATATAACATGTTTTAGATAGATTTACAACAATTTTATTATCTGTAATAATTAAGAATAGTTTGAATGGAATCCAAAACAACCAACAAGATTTAGTAAAACTATCTTATTTACCAATTTATATTATTTTTTCAAATATATTAATGTTTTATAAATTGTTGAAAATAACAAGCACATCAATATTTAATTTAAATTTCAATAAAATTGGAAATTAATTGCCTTAATTAGTTAGTAGTTAAAGTCTTACCACATAAGAATCCAAAACTCACCATAAAATTAAATAATTTAAGATAAGTTTTATCCACATTTACTGGACATAGCAACAAGTTTACCAACAGTACAAAGTTCAACGTTAATGAAGATAATGCATAATGTAGCTGATGGGAGATGTAAGGAGAATATGCTTACTTTTGCTATGACTTCCTCTTTCTTCTTCTTTTCAACATCTATAGAGTCTGTGGAGTGGTTGTGTGCATCTAATGTGGGTGATGTTATGGGGCTGGTGGTACCTGTAAATAAATGCATTTAATTTTTAGTTTTAATTTCTCAATTATGGCAAAGCACAATTAATACATAACTTTAATATATACTTCTTCTTCTTCTGTTTAAAACTTTGCTGCCCTGTATTGGCCTTAGATAATTTATTACCCCATCTTGTCTTGTGACTGTGGTTACGGTACATTAGGGTCAATGGTTCAGAAAATCTCAAAGTCTGCAATATAAGTCGAAACAACAGTCTTGAAATTTGTTATAACCTAAAAAATTTAGACCAGTTATGAAGGACCGCATTATTAATAATGCATTTTTTTTAAATAAGTGTGGCAAACAAGCACACAAACCACCTGATGTTAAGTGGATGCTATGTCCCATAGACATGTACATTTATCCTTGACTAATAATTAAAATGCAGATGCATTGTCACCCCTGAGTACTAAGATGGAATGCCTCATTTCCAGTTAAAAGCATCCCAGTTCTCTACACACACCATATAAAACACAGCAGCATTAAGCTGCTATTTTACACTGGTATTTTTTGAGAGTGGGGTTTTACCCGAGATGAGCCAACCTATTTGTGCTTCAACCCATAATATAGCTGCAGCATGACTGTACCATGTGAAGCTTCTCAGTCTTTTACAGACCTAGATATATTGTGTAATTTACTAGGTCTAATTCTGCAATTCATTAAGCTAGAGAGCTTCAGATAATTAATTCCATTTGTATATGGAATGAGTATTTGTATGAACTACAAATGAATTTTGTGGGTCTGGGTGTTTGTCCTTGTTCAATTTATGTATGTAAATGTCTGCCAAATACATAATGAATTCCTAGTGTTACATTTATAAACAACTAATTTATAAAAATAATAAAGGAACACTTCTATTTTAAAAGATATTTAAAATATAATAGTCAGCAAGGTTCTCTCAACAAGTAAAATTGATGATTGGAATCATACTTTATGAATCCAACCATTAGCCCTTTCGCTCGGCTAACAATCTAATCAGATCATACAATACCTACCTTACGCCCGCTCTAGTACGGGGCTAATTAGATCAGATAATATCAGAAGTACTGCCTTATGAAAAAACTACTTTTTCCTTTAAAACAAAACCAAAGACAATATGCAATAGATAATAGTATCAAAGACAAAGATATGCTCTTTTATTTTAAACCATAACCTGGCAATGTTTCTTAGAAAAAAAAAAAGAAATCACTCTAAACTTTCGGCGTTCCACGTGTCGTTTTGATGAATGTGCTCCATCTTTTTTATAGAATTTTATAATTGTGTCTGGACTAAAAACGAAAGTATTATACTTTTTTATATTCCTTGTAATATAGTGAACACGAAGATATATAATTTGTGGTATAAAAAGTGAAAAGTAAATTGCCAAAAGTGCTTCAAAATCTGGAAGGCCCATTATGGCGGCTGGGTCATAAATGTGGTATTTTTCACATTCTCATTTATTTTTAGTGTAAAATGTAAGTAAAAATAGTTTTCTTACATATTTCAAATAACTTGACGTTGTATTTATTTCAAATTCACACAAAACTATTTTAGAAATATTGTTCTAAATGTCACACAGATAAAATATTAATATTTAATTTTTTTAATTTCTTTATATTTTATATTTTGGTATGAGTAACGAATGGAAACACATAAAACATAAAAATATACATATTTCCAAACATTTTCATATAAATTTCTCTAAAAACAAAAGTGTAGAATTCAAATTAGTAGTAATTTTGTCACTAAAATTGAAGTATATGGTACTACTATGCTATACAGGGTAATTTATGTATTTTATTACAATTTCTAGCAACCAAAAATAATTTTATTCGATAGTTTATACATTCAACAAGAAATCCTGTAAGTTTTATCCATAAATATTGTCTCAAAGTGAAAATATAGCAAAATTTGCAATATAGCAAAAAATTTGCTAATTTGCAAATTTTCCCGCCATTACGATCCCGAGCGAACGGGAGTATAACATGTCGCGCGCTGTCAGAGCGAAAGGGTTAGGATATCATCATCAATAAGCATCTGATAAACATAACATTGCAAAGCAAACTCTCATGCCTAGCACCCAGAGGGGTTGACGGAGAATAAGGACTTCCATTTAGCAGGATCCTGACACCTTTCTCTCTTCTTTCACATGTATGGATGTACACATAACATAGTTTAGTTTACGACCGGCTGTTTTCCGCAACTCCACGTCTAAGCGCGTATTTTGCGTGTGGGCAGGAATAATATGCTTATTCTTGCCATGATATCTCCCCAAAGAAGCTCAGCAGTCCCTTGATGTTGCAAGCAACTTCAGGGAGCGATCCCGGCGTGCCGAGATGTTTAGCTCTGTATGAAGCGACTTCTGGACATGTCAGCAACACGAGTGAGCCGCCGTTTCTTCCTCTCCCATGCATGCCCTGCACAGGGGGCTGTCAGTAACACCTATGGTGAACAAATATTTGTTAAAAGAGCCATGTCCTGTGATAGCACTTGTTACTATCCTGATCTGTGGCTTGTTCAGTCTCATTAGAACCTTGGTTAGACGACTGTTTATTTCAGGTAGGGCCTCCCTAGCTTGTCTACAGTCTACTAAATTTTTCCAAAGCTGAGCGTGTAAATTATTGAAGTATCTACATACCAGAGAACGAACATAGCCAAAGGGGATTGGTATTATTGGTTCCGGCCCTATAGTTGCTAGGGCCGATCCCCTTCTGGCCATTTCATCTGCTGCATCGTTGCCTCTAGATCCACTGTGTCCCTTGATCCATTGCAGTCACATTGTTGTGCTTACATACCTCATTCAATCGTTGATGACACTCGTATATCAGTCCCGAGTTCTTCACATTGCAACTCAGAGCTTGTAGTACCGCCATTCTGTCGGTCAGTATTCTGATGGAGAAGTCTTTCACCTTCCTAGCATCTATTGCTATGGCCACTTGGATGATGCCCATGCGTTCCGCCTGGAAGACTGTGTTGTGGGTACCTAGCGGTATGCATATGTGGATATTAAGGTCTTCAGAGATAGCCCCAGACCCCACACCTTCATTTGTCTTAGAGCCGTCCGTGAAAACTTTGAGCTCTCTTGGACCCAATCCTTCCAGATGGTCAGTTTCCTTCAATTGTATCCTGTACTTCTTATCGAATACAAATTGTTTTGGGATCCTATCATACTTGGCTTGTAAGATAGGAATTTTTGAGTAAATTCTATCAATTATATCTGTATGGGGGACTCTACTCTTACTTAAAAGATTTAGGGTCTTGAGTCTAATGGCAGCTAAAGCTGCTTCTTGTTGTATATGTAGATGAAGCGGTGTTAGCTCCAGCATAGCCTCCAAAGCTGCTGTTGGTGTAGTACTTATGCAGCCCGTGGCATCCATACAAGCTAATCTCTGCTAACGCTGAAGCTTTTGTATAGTGGTGCCTTCATTGGTTTTGGTCCACCATACCAGAGAGCCGTATGTGATCATGGGCCGAATTACAGTTTTGTACAGCCACAGTATAATTTTTGGCGTTAAACACCATCGTTTGCCAATCATGTTTCTGCATTGCCAGAAAGTTAAACTAGCTTTGCTGATTTTTTTTTCTGTGTTTGTTCCAGTTAAGTTTACTGTCCAAGGTAACCTAGGTATTTTACCTCGGAAGAAAGTTGGAGTTTTGTGCTGAAAATACTTGGAAGATGATAGTTATTCACCATTCGTTTTTGTGTGAACATTACTATAACCGTACACATAACATGCTCTTCAGTAAATGGTGCTTTTAACTTGGGCCATCGTCAGTTTTTATATATCAATACAATATATGAACATTTTAAGTTAACAGTATTTTTTAATTAACTTTATTATTCAATGTTATAGTCCATCTGAAGGCACTGCTGAACATAGTCCTCCTCCAAGGAATGCTCCGAAGCCCTTCCTACACGCTTTACCAGGTCTTCATTCCATCTAGTAGGAGGCCATCCTACACTTGCACTGGTACTTGTGAGCCTTTCTTTCGTATCGATTATCAGTCCAGTTCCATGAAATAAGTTAGTTACTCGATTGTGGATATTCTTATCGTCAAGTTAAATAAAAGCTATCCACTGCAGAGGAAACATTACAGTGTTACAAGTTACCGCGCAAATTTAAAAGCATTTACTTTTCTCAATATATTATACAATAAAAATAGTACATGTAGACAGAAGTAACAAAAAAATAACAATACACACCTGATAGTATACTGGTGGGAGAGCCTGCAGAATCATTACTGTTATTACTATCCGTGGTAGCAGAGGATGGTAACCCCACCCCACTCAGCTCAATCTCGTCCAGTCCATTTATGTCATCATAAATGTAATCATTTTCTTCATAGCCAGGTTCTAGTGATGATACTATGTAATATTCTACATCATCTTTTATTCTTTTTATCTGGAATTGAGAATGTTTGAATACATTTTTCAAATATACACAATATATATTGAGATAAATGGAACTGTAATCGATACAATGTCATGGGGGACTGAGGTGACTGACGTCCCGATATCAATGTTAATCTCGAGTACTTTCAGCTTTTTAATTATTGTTTATGGTCCGATCTATGCAGAATAAACTTACTAGGTCTTGAAGTCTTGGAGTGGTATGCTTGGGTTTAGTTTTAATTTTATTAATTACAGGTGGTAGTACTCAGCCTCCTTCTCTATTGAAATTAGGGTGTTTTTTAATTTCAATAGCCTCACGTATCATCCTTGGTAAGAATCGATGTTCTTTCGCGAGGACTTGTGATCTATCAAATCTGATGTAGAAAACTATCATATTTTATTATCTGATTTGACTTTTTTTTAAAAGGGCTTTTGGGTATTTACGAGTAGTGGTATGCTTGGAGTGGTATGCTTGGGTTTAGTTTTAATTTTTTTTAATTACAGGTGGTAGTACCCAGCCTCCTTCTCTATTGAAATTAGGGTGTTTTTTAATTTCAATAGCCTCACGTATCATCCTTGGTAAGAATCGATGTTCTTTAGCGAGGACTTGTGGTCTATCAAATCTGATGTAGAAAACTATCATATTTTATTATCTGATTTCATTTTTTTTTAAAAGGGCTTTTGGGTATTTACGAGTAGTAATATGTTAATGTTAATACATAACCCCTCAACAGTATCTTCCTAAAAGGCGTCATTTCTTAAATGTTTGCAGCTATTGCGGCTTGTATTTACTGCCCGGGAGAAATAATTTACTTAATTTCATGTTTTCTTTAAATATATGGGTATAATGTTATGGTAAATACAATAAAATATAATAAGCATGTTTTTCTCAACTAAATTTATATATTATTATAACATTAGTGTTAACAGCGATGTATAATCGTAATTAGTAATAATAAAAATGGCGGAAATGGAATTGCCGCAACGGATGACAGTTACTGACAATAGATATTTGGACACATAGCTGGTATGGATGTATAGACTATTGAGCGGATAATATCATCCAGATCAAATTTCTGTTACGGCGGCCAGCCTCAACAGAGATTATCCATTGGCGCAAGACAGGATTATAGTGCCCAGGTGTATGTGCAAGCACAACTGCACTCTCTATTCCTTCACTCTCATAGTCAGATTTTCAGACATTGCTTTCTGAGGCATGGGGGTGAAGCACCACTAACTTTCTGACTCCAGACAGCTACTGAGAGTTTATTGATGGAAAAACACAATAACCAGTTTTTTCGGCCTGTCCCAGGATTCAAACCTGGGACCTCATGACCTGCAGCCGCGTTTACAACCACTAGACCAACGAGGCATTCAACATTACATTAATATAAAAATCTTTATGTATATCTTGCATATAAGTATTATGCATATAGTTTTGAAGGAACTCAGTGCTGAACATAGGTCTCCACCAAGTGATGCCACAAAAATATATTATATTATTGATTATCCAGAGAATTTATATTCCTGAAAAGTGCAATAATATTTTTTGAGTTGTTATAACAGCAGTGACCAGAAAAAGATTCTTAAACAATTTGTACCTACTAGATACCGTACATGGAAAACCATAATTGGAGCATTTAAAAAAAATTAGTTGTAACTATTAATTTGTAACACTTACTTGTTCAACTTCTACGGACATATTGTCAAGCATGCGTAACAATGTTTCTAGCTTCTTTATGTGGAACCTGTGCTTCTCCAGCTTTAGTTTGAGCTCCTCCATCCTGTCTTGCTTTTCCTTATCCAGACGTTTTTTCTTACCGACTAACAGTGACTCTACTTCAGACTCAAATAAATCAATCTGGAATTAGAATAAAATATTGCCATTATATATTAAATAATTTCCCAACTTCATGTAGAAATTAGTAATTTTGGTGTCTCTCAAGGCCTGTATTCACTTTGATTAGAGCGAGTGCAGGTGATTAGTGCAGGTTTGTATTGTAAGTAGTATCCAATTCTGTTTAGTGGCTGTGTTTAGTAACTTCAGTTGTGTGCCGTGCTGTGCAACCTCTTGCGAATATGTAGATCTCAAGTTTCTTAATTTAATATAAACTTCTATACTTCCAAACCTTGGTATATTCATAGCTTCACTTATACATAGAAATTCCACACCTGAGGCTCCTTTAATTTTGCAGTTACGGTATTTACTATTGTAAAAACATTCATTTTTTAGATACTCCTGCACAAATTTATAGGTTATGTCTTAGGTCCACTTTATAATTTTTTCTAACATAAGCAAGCGTCCGACGCTTAAAGCTAAATACTGCTATCCAGACGTGTTTAGTGGTAGACATACAGCGAGTGAGGGGAAAGGTACAGTATGCACGGGACGGGGACACTTGCAGTCCACTCGCAAAAAAAATAAAACATGCCACTAATCACTTTACTATGCAGATTACTAATCACTTGCACTAATGAATCGCTGTCCACACGTGTTACTCCTAATAACTAAGCACCTACACTAGTCACCTGCACTAATCACTAATCAAAATGAATACAGGCCTTCAGTGAAATGGTTTATGTCCAAGATGCACATTACATAACAAATGAACACAAAAGTCCACGCATTTTAAATTACATTTATATAATTTTTATTGTACAAAAAATTCTAAAACAATGAATTCAATCCTTTGTTAATAAATAAGTTGTTCGGTACTTTAAAAACACTACTAGAACCATTTAATATTAATTATGTATCAATCTCCACCAAAAATATGCATAAAGTTGATTCCTTAATAAAATCATAAGTCTCACAAAAAGGTAAATATTGTAAGAAGAATATGGCCATTATTAAATTTATAAAGTATGTTTAGAATATAATATTTCATTTTGTGTTTTAATGATACATAAGCATCCAAAGCTAATAACAAGTTAGCATCTTAGTATGTGCATTTGTGATTTTACTCATACATAGTTCCAACGAATTAGTGACAGTAGCCTAATGGCATGTGAATCGTGATCTTAAAGGTCATGGGTTCGAATCCGTAAATCACTCTTAAGACAAGCATTTTAAGCTTACCAGAAGTTGTTAACCCTTCAATCCCCATAAAAATCCCATGCAGTCGCATGCGGCCGGCAAATCCCGAGCGGTCGCTTGCAACCGCACCCCCCCGCAGCACTTAAAACCATTATAACTTTATATTTAGAGCTTCGATCAACAATACCAACTAGATGTCGGTTCGGCGCAAGAAATCCATCTCAGTAAATAAGAGCGCACATGAGACGTGAGCTCTTGCATGTGAGAGTGTAGCTCGCAAGGCAATAACGGGAAAAAGAACTTTGTTTGTTATAACTTAAGATTGATTGATTTGATTCTATAATGCCAAACTTCTTCATAGAAAAGTAGTCTCTAAACATAAGTATTGATGGATTAAATGGTGCTGTGGGTAGGTGCGGTCAGATTTGACCTCTTGAATTTTGACGGAATATCGAAGCAGTCAAATTTAGACGCTTGTTGTTTGAAAGGTTAAAGGGAATATTAGTAATGTTAATAACATTTCTAGTATTTTTAATTTAAAATCCTATAAAAATAAATAAAATTGAAGTGTCTGTATGTAATGTCAAAATAACAGCTTTTTACTAAATAAATGCATATAGAAATAGATACAGTACTTATAACAAAAATAAAAATTTTGTCTGTCTGTCTGTTCCGGGTCTCCGAAATTGGCTGGACCGATTTAGACAGGACTTTCACTGGCAAATAGCTGATGTTTTTTGTTACTTTTTATGTAAAAAAATTAAACCTTAAATTTTTTTTACATAATTTAAACAATAAAATCAGTTACACTGAGGGAAGACTATATGTGTACCTGTAAATTAAGTGCGTCAATAGACGCAATAAGCCAAGAGGACATCTCCTCCCTCTCCTTCTGCGCTGGGTCCAGTTTCTGTGCGGCCCCAAGTCCTTCTTTTGAGTATGCCTTGGTTTTTGTTTCTCGTTCTACCACCTTAAACCTTTCCATTTGCTGTAATAGATGAAATATGGTTTAAGCCAAAATTTATTTTAAAATAAACAAAAACTTATTTTTAATGCACAGCGTAAATTAAAAATTGTTTATTAGTTTCCCACCTAGTCCAGTCACATTGTTATAAAGTAAACTTAAGCCAAATACCGAATAATCTCAGTTTTAATGGTGTCCCACAGATCATTTACATATTATTATAAACTTATAAAACATTTATATGGAAGCAAGAAATGTTTTCTTACAAATTTCATAATGCTGACAAGTTATAACTTTGGTTAAATAACATTTACCAGGGTGTCAAAATGACATGCTGAGTAAGGCATGAGGGTAGGGGGATTGTCACTGGAATATAGTTAAAAAATGTGGGATATAGTAGGATAGTAGGTAATATGATGTTATACAACATGTTAGAAAGTTTTTACAGAAGTAGGAGTAAAAATAGCACATACATAACATAAATTAGAAAATTTTACTGTATTAATACATCATAAACTGCTATAGAGCACCATAACATAGGCAACATGTCAGTAAAAGGGGAAACAACAAAGAAGTGCAATGCTTGGCAATGCTATCATAAATCTGCCAGACAAGTTTGATAACCCTCCTAGTAATAATAATTAAAGCCTTCTGACTGTTAATTTCATCGGCTGGTAATGACGATATGCACTTCCTAACTAAGTAACTCAACTTAAACATAACTTGAAATGTAACAATTACAAAAAAGTGTATTATTTACATCATACAATGCGACAGAACCCGAAATGCTACATGCAACATAATATGACTATTTATGTTGCAGCTATAAGCTTCATAGTGCAGAGGTGCATTGTGGATCTACCACATTAAAAAATATATCAATTTCAAAGCTCCGCCTGCAAAGCTTGGCAACTATGACAAATTCCCCTCCCTCTTATAAAGGAATCTATGGGAAGGCCTATATTCAGCAGTGGACTTAGGCTATATAATGAATGAATAAGCAACTGAATTATCTTGTATATAAATGTAATGAAAATATATTATACTTATGCTCAAATACTCAAATGTTATTCAATTTTAAGATGTTAAATCTCATGGTGGCACAGTCACTTCGACTTTTAAGCATAACCACTTTATAATAGGTAAGCATTTTAAGTATCAAAATGCATATAGTCGTAATTTATAGCATCATTCCATTAATTCAGATAGTAAATATGTTATTTTTAAATATTTATTTACTATCAGAAGTTTATAAAAAAATGTAAATATCAGATAAGCTACACTATGGTCAAAACGAATAAATGTGTTTGTTTCAAATTCAGCCTCAATAAGTAGTTTAGAGAATTTTAAATCAAAATGTATTTGTGTCACGTAAACACATCTGGCAAATTATTCACTGTGTGGTTTTCCATACGAAAGTAGGAAATCTATAAAAAGAGGTTGGTTTACTATGAATGTATAAGAATTTGTGTGACAGCATTAACTGATAGAACCAGTAAACAGTCTAATTAAATAGAATTTATTGTTGTACAGCTATTAAAGTCCACTGCTGAACTTAGGTCTACGCCATAGATTGTGTAGTGGCAGTGTAAGAATATCCACTACGCATATCATCACAAGGGTGTTGTAAGAGTCGACATAGGAAAACAAATCAGGAGATGGGCAGCAGCATCTTCCTAATAACAGCTAAAAAGAAAAAAACGGCAACCCACTTGCAGAATGTGGCAACTAGGGCAAATATTCCCCATACAAAATGAAATTTACTTTTGTTATTTTCCAGTTTTTTTTTAAGTGCGAGTTATTGAACAAAAAATACATTAAGCCTGCTGATTAGTATGTAGTTATATGCACAAAACAAATACAGTAAATTTTAGGTACTTGGCATATAAATTTCTCTTTGAGGGTATAACATTTTCTTCATTTATTTAAAACTTAACTAGCTTAAATCTTATCAAGATGCATTTTTCAGACTGAATGCAAATACCAAATAAATTCACTACAGTAGACCCCCAGTAATCGTACAAACATTTGCAAGGCAGTATCGGACTATCGATTTGTCCAATTATAGAATATTGCCCAAGACCCCTATAGTCCGTTTTTTTTTTACAAGAGAGTACCTTGTAATCCAACCAGTTACAGATCCAATAATAAGATTCTAAATGTTATATATGTACTCTGAAGTACAAATCATACTTCATTATGTATGTCAAATTTAGTAAATTAAATAACACAATAGAGAGCACATTTTATTATAAAATTAACTTCATTAAAGCTATAAAACTTACAAAAAATATGCAATAACTTTACATTAGGAAATAATTATGTACAAACAAATGTATATACTAAAATAATCAAAAAATTATAAATCAATCAATTTTAGAAGCATCAATTTAAAAGCATTATCAAGAAGCAATAACGCTTTTTGAGAAAAATTATGCTTTTTCAACCATTTTCAGAATGAAACTTTTCAATCATAATCAAAACAATACCCTATGCGTCGAGCAAAATAGTGGTGGGGCATACAAGTTATAATTTGTTCAATCATGCATTAACTAAGATTGTCATAAAAATATTCAATAATAAATAATAGACCATGTCAGATTACAGGGGGTGTCAGATTAGACAGGAGCTGGATTACTGGGGTTCCACTGTATTTACATATATTACTCTTTCATTATTGTAAAAGTATCTTTACAAATTTAATAATAAGAATAATGTTATATAAAATAATATAAATAAAACTCCAGTTACAAAGGACTTGCTAATACTATTTGCTAGTAAACAATAGCATTACACTATGCACATAATGACATAGATTGTAAGTTTTGTGTGAACGCAATGGGTGTGTGATAAATGCTAAACAATATTTTTTTTATAAGATAGGGTGACAAACAAGCACACAGTCCACCTGATGATAAGTAGTTGCTGTGGCTCATAGACATCTACATCTACTCTTGATTACAAATCAAAATGCAGACGCATTGTTATCCCTGAGGACTAAGATAGAAGAGTCCTTTCCATCTTATGGGTCTCCGGTTCTCTACACTTACCATACGAAACACAGCAGTATTAAGCTACTATTTCACAATGGTATTCTGTGAGAGTGTGGTCGAACCGACCCATTCGTGCTACAAATATACTACTAATAGAGTTGCAGCATATTGTTATATATTAAGGAGGAAGTCACCTGGGACACTGCTTTAAAAATAATTGTAAGGCATATATTGTAATAACTTTTTGTATCTTGTAATCAATAAGATTCAAAAAGATCACACCGGAAGGCATAAAAATAAACTTTAAACACATTGAAGTAGAAGTTAAATGTGATTTTGTTCATTCATAAAAGGCAAAGACACAAGAGCATGTTATATAGGGTAATACTGTGATAATTGTATAAAATAAATAAAAACAATAATATAAGATACGAGTGATGAAAACCTCTATCTTTATCAGAGTTTATCATTTTCATTTCTTAATTAATATTATTAGAATTTTAATGTTTAATATTATTGATAAAGTTGTTTATATACACACAGAAAAGTTTTTAATATAACCTAAAAATTATTATCACTACTCTTTATGATTTAGTATACTAACTTATTTTTATGTAATATATTTTTCTCTATCTGTATTATATTGGTGGAAAGATAGTTCTAGTTAGTAGTAGTAGATAGTTCCACCCATTGATAGTTAATTTTCTGTTATGACCCTACCGACATTATGATCTATCTTAATAAAATCACATACTCTAGACAGCTCAATTATAAACATCAGTGGTTTTTAAATACTAGAATTATGTCATATGCATTGCTTTAATGATAAATAAATAAAAAACTCACTGTTTCTATTAGTTTCCTATAGTCTAAAAGTGTACTCTTATCCTTAATCTCCCCAGATGCGATCCATGACTTGATCTGATCTCGTAGCCTCTGGAGTTTTTTAATCTCTTTCTTGAGATCAGCCTCATATTTTTCCTTCTGATTGCTATTTGTCGCATTATGCACTTTTTGCCAGATGTCCTCAAACGTCTCCACCCCCTCCGTGACTTTTTTTAAACACCTGTCTATTTCACCTGTAATAAACATAAAACCTGTTTTTAATATGTTATTTATGTCGAGTATAGAAAGAGCACACGTTTGTAGCTTTCAGTTATTAGTGGTATCGAAAAGAAACCCCGTATCATTTTTGAAAGTGTCAAACATAATCCTCACATATGATCACGTAGCATCGCGGCATCATCATCTTGACATAGGATATTATCGTCTAAAAATTCAATATCCTAACTCATAGCCTCAACTGGCTACTCATATATGGAATCAGCAGTGTGGCAGAGATCTAACTGTACGGACAATAGAAGTCTAGAACACGTATCTACATAGGTTGGGGTCAATCAATCTCTAACCTGATAAGGTGGCAAATTACCTTGTAATTTCCTTGTCGCAGCCATAGCTATTTACACATGTGGACCAACGTTCCGTACATATCCTAAACATACAAACTATTTACAATAAAATGCACAAAAATTATTGATAAACAGACAAACTACACATCTGAAGCTTTGTTCGAATCCAAGATGGCTACCATACACAGCTCGAACTGTTAGTGACTAAACGCATCCAGGCTGAAAGTCTAAGAAAAATTCAGGCTCGCGCCTGTAATAGTAATCAGCACAAAGTTTTCATAAATAATTATGAATAAGTTGTCACTAAAACAACAAGCTTCAAAATTTCCACAAAATGATTTTAGGTACGTAGCGTAAACCATCAGTCAAGTGCGCAGGCGCAAAATAATAGAGCAAGGCATAGACAAAATATCAGCAAAATGACAATTGGTTTATGATGTTTTCGTTTGAAAACTTGAACAGACATTACATCTATTAAAGACATATACAGACTAAAAATATTAATGTAGAATAGTTTTTGTCTATTGAAATCAAAGTAAAATAATATTTATAATACGACTGTTTTTCATTATTTGTTTAAAATTGTTCAGGTATTCGTTAAGTTTAAGATGAAGATTTCAAAAATGTCAAAAGAGAAACACAAAATACTTAAACGGTAATAATAGTAACTGGATGGCACCGTTCTTACTTATGAGCGTATAATATGCGGAAGTCAAAATCTACGCAATCGCTCTGGAACGGCGTAATATTGACACACACTACAATGTTCTGTCTGTGTGCGTGACTGCATAAGGTGGTTGTGGTGATGTTTTCCGGGCATCCATCGCAAATCCTTGAGGTCAACTCGAGTTTTATTTTCGTTGATTAATACTAGGTCGTCAAGTGTTTCATTGTCTTTAACGTGGACATTTCTGATCTCTATAGTGGAGCTACGGGAACAAAATTGTAGATCTTTGATGGTATTTTCAAGTGCCTTGACTTTCTCCGTTAGGTAAGAATTTCCCTTTTCCAGGTCGAGGACCTTTTTGACATATCATCATATTGTGCATCATATTATGCTATTACTTTTTAATTCGAGGCGTTTTTTTTTTAGTTTAATTTTCCTTGGTGTACAGTCTGTTCGCTTAGATACAGTCGTTTTTGTGCGGCGCCGCCTTGCGCAAATATAAGAAGAAGAATTAGCCATAATCGTAAACTTGTCGAAATTCTAAAATATTTTCAAGAGGAATAATATTGGTGTCAAGGGTAATAATAAAACTATTTCATCTATTGATATAATTACAGCACTATCGGCTAACTTTCTTTTATTGATAGCTTGGGGATGAAATACGATTTATCAAAATGTTCGGAGCAAATGGTGCTAGTCCGTTTATGAATCCAAAATTCATGATTTCTACAAGCTGCAATCCAAGTCTGCCATTTAAGAGGATATCTTGGAAATATGTAAAATCAATACTTATGCACAGGCTTGAGGATATGGGTATAAAGGGCCTACCTATATAATAGGCAATCCTACGAATATTTACGATTTGTACTACACTTAGATTTATTTAAAGACTATCATAAGGATCGTAAGCAGAAAGTAAAGATAGGTGAATATTTAAGCGATGAATCAAATATAACATTCGGATTTGAACAGGGCAGTGTCCTGGGTCCTACTTTATTTTTAATCTACATAAAGAATCTAATCCAACATGGACATTAACGAAGGCAACATAATCTCCCACGTGAGGTCGTACCCACCCACAGCACTTTAACCCATAAAAATTTAAATATAGAGACTACTTTTCTACGAAGAATTTTGGCATCAATATGAAATACTCTATCCTCTAGAGCAATAAAAAACTGTTATCCTATGAATATTTATTTATAATCTACGTTTATTTCGTACGCCATTTTCGCGTGAACATTATTGTGTTGATTTTTTGGATTTTTCTAGTGTTTTATTATTGTTTTAGTATAGTGTTTTATTATAAAATTGTAATGAAAGTTTTGTGTGACTATAATTTATCTTTTTACGTAAATTTCAGACGCAATTTCGGGTAATATTTATTAAAATTATTGTGAATATCACGCTGCGGACATTCGCTTGGTATGTTTTTTTTTTGTTATCAAAATACAATAAAATCTTTTTGTAATGAAGTAAAACCTAACTTTTGTTTAAACTACAAGATAGGGAATTTTGTATAGATTTTATAATGCTAAACTCCTTCATATAAAAGTAGTCTCTAAATATAAGTTTTAATGGTTTTAAGTGCTGTGGGTGGGTGCGGTCGCATGCGACCGCTCGAGATTTGCTGGGCGCGTGCGACTGCGTGAGATTTTTATGGCGCTTGAAGGGTCAAAACATTAAGATGAAAAAGTTACTTTACCAAATATATTTTGCTTTGACTCAATCTATCTTAGTATATTGTATGCCTGCATGGAGTGGATCTACAAAAATCAAATTTCTAGAAATTGAAAGGGCACAGACAAATTTTTCTAAATTATGCATTTTAAACCAAAAAGATTTACAACAGAAGATCTTTATGGCATAAATAATGTACTTACTGTGAGGAAACTGTACATCTTATATTCAGTTCTAAGACTGCATAAAGTTATAAAGTTTAACCGCTGTATTGTAGCTAAAAGAAGGAAAAACGTAGTGGCTACAGCTGAAACTGTTTTAGCTAGGAGGCAATATGTAAAACAGTCAGCGAATTTAAACAACACCATTAATAAAAGTGTAAAATTCATCACTTTAACTACGAAATATGTTCTAACCAAGCTATGATGATACTGAGACCCTTTTTAGCAATATGAAATAATGTAATTTATTTATAACATACACACACAAACACAAATGTACGTGTTACTGCCCCCATTTACCCTGACAAAAGCCGATTGAAACTAGGGCCCATCAGTAGTCTAATTCGACGGATAACAAAGGGGAGGGTCCAACTGACCTATGGATAATTAAACTATAACGGCTAACAAAGAAGCAAGCAACACTTACCGATGGGCGGAGGTAGGGTTAACCACAGGGCATTTGTCAGGTGAAAGGTGATGTGCATGTAAGTGGTGTGCAGTAATGTGTACAAGGTGTAACCTGACATCCCCGCTGATTCTGGACAGCAGATCCCAAGGCGCTGCCTCTCTCCAAATGTGGGATCCACAAAGGGGGTGTTCACCAATGGAAAAAATCCACTTCATTTTTCACTATATTAGTTTATCAACTTTATTGTCCATTTAATTAACTTCAGTTCAACCAAATCAACGTTATTCGACATTAAAACAAGTGACACGCTGCTCAACTTAAGGACGGTTGGTCAAAGTTCAAAGTCCCAGGTTCACTTAGCATAACTACTAACTCGTCGATGCAATTAACGGCATAAAAGTTCCTTTAATCACTACAAATTCCAAGTAGGCCTCTTGCCACGTAACACGTACAAAACAGACAACTAAATTCGAGGTGGTCTAGACTATACTCAAATATTCAATAATAAATTCAAAATGGCGGACACAATTAACACAATCCTTAGGCATTCGTGTCAACACCTGCCGCACGCAACCGTATGCCAGTCACAAACAATACTCAAACTGTTACAACAATAATTATATAATATGGCCTCGTTATCACGGAAACTTACAAATATAAGATAACACAAGGAGGTCGCCCTTTCGACGCAAAATTATACCAAACTCGCGACCCCTAACTCGACCCGGGAGATTATGTAACGCCCGACGTTTAACTGGCGCGGGCTCAGCGCCCAAAGGCTTCCTGCCGACTGCCACGCTTGCTCTGTGCGTACGACGCAGCTAGCCTCCCCTCCCGCGCTACGCTATCTGTTTCCTCATCCCTCTCGTGGCAATCGGGCGTAAACAACACGTGTGCACGCTCACTCACTCATTCACACACACACACACACACACTCACTCATTCACACACACACACACACACACACACACACACACACACACACACACACACACATACACACACACACACACACACACACACACACACACACACACAACCACACACGCACACACACCACACACGCACACACACACACACACACACACACACACACACACACACACACACACACACACACACACACACACACACACACACAACAAACACACACACACACACACACACACACACACACACACACACACACACACACACACACACACACACACACACACACACACACACACACGGGAGAAACGTGTAGGTTGGGCCTAGGATTAGGTGGTCGCAGCCTACGGACGCGAGCGACTTATCCCCCTTATTATTATGTATAAATTTTGTTTTCGCAAATTTTTAATTCAATTTAATTTAATCTATCCTAGTGGGTTGAGAAAGACTTACCACGCACTGGCGGAAAAATCACTGGGGGCGCATTTTGACCCGCCTCCGCAACAGATGAAGTATTATAATTTAACTTGCCGCAGTAAAAGTGTTAAAATCGCTTACATTTTACTTCATGAAACTATGCTTTTGTAGATTTAACGGTTTTGATTGTTTTTTGCAAGAAGATACACTGAAATTAGGCATTTTTGTCGGAGCTCAATTGACTGGCACGATCACTTGTGGTCGGTTGTGATCACGTAGTGGCGCACGACGCGGAGCAACTAGTTTTATATGACCGGTATGAGTCGGACTCTCGTACCTTTTACAGAGGGGTATGCCTTGCGATGCCGTCTCCTTTGATTTGATACTCAAAGTTTGATATACGTTTAATCTGTTTCGTAATGTAAAGATAATTAATTAATCAAAATAACAATTTCATTAGTGTCGGCGGCGATCGAACCTGGGTGCCCACTTCGCCCTTGAGCTACCAGGGCTCATATTTTTTTTGTTTCTATTTTATAATAACATTACCTCCACACTAAAAATTTTGCCCAAATATATCGTGGGGGGAGTTAACATAAGAACATAAATTTCACAAGGACAAACATCCAGACCCGCAAAAATTATTTGTAGGTATACAATATTTTTGTTCCGTGCGGCAATCAAACCTGCTGCCCTTAGAGTTAAACTCATTGTTAAGTAA